ATTAATATTTATTGAAAATCGTTTTAGAAAAAATTGGTTGAGGAACAAAGCCTATGTTGCTCACACATCAATTAAAACTATAATAATTCCGTGACATTTATAGCTTTTCGTTTACTAATAATTTTGTTTTTATAAATAATTGTTATTCTATGATTATTTATCTTGCTTAACAAACTGTATCTTAAAAATAAATGAATGAATAAATAAATAAATTCCTAATGAGCTGTTTCTCTTCAAGGTACGATACCAGAACAAATTGGAAGTCTAGAAAAGCTTCAATGGTTGAACCTTAGAAGCAACAAATTGACAGGTACGAATATACACAACCATAAACATACATATTATATGTACAAATATTTGATTTGTTAATATATGTATAAATATATACACAGGAGAGATACCATCGAGCATCTTTAACATCTACACATTGAAAAATATATTGCTCAACAATAATAAATTATCGGGTATTCTTCCTGATAATATATGTTGGGGACTTCCGTCACTCCGTCAGTTTGTCATTTATGACAATGAAATACAAGGACACATTGGATCAAAATTTGCTTCATGTTCCCATCTTTTGGTCCTATCTATGTCAGCCAACAACTTTACTGGATTCATCCCAGATGAAATTGGTAGATTGCAAAAGCTTCAAAGGTTGTATCTTCATGAAAACAAATTAACGGGTAAATAATTTTTTACATGTTTATAAAAATTTATGATTAATAAATATATGATTTTGATATATACTTTTTCTAAATATTAATTAATAATAGGTTCTATACCATCCAACATTTTCAACATCTCGACCATAGAAGTTATAAACCTCAACTTCAATCAATTATCGGGTACTCTTCCCGATAATTTGTGCTTTGGACTTCCGAATATCAAGTTGTTGTTCATAAGCAATAATCAGCTGTCGGGAAAACTGCCATCAAATTTTACTTCATGTGAGCAACTTCGATTTCTCTCATTGTCGTGGAACCGTTTTGTTGGAATCATACCACCAGGAATAGTGAACTTGGATAGGCTTGAATGGTTGGAGCTCGATGGCAATAACATTACAGGTATGACTTTTACAAATGTTAACTTAAAATTTTGAAACATATATTTATTTACTATTACGTATATTATATGCTACATTAATATAATGATTAATAGTTTTCAAAATATAATTATAACGAGAACATAGATACTATGTATTTATATATTCCTTCAAGATATAATGTTCATATTTCCAAGCTATATATTCTTTTCTTATATAAAATAAAGTAGCTCATTGTTTAATTGTTTGTATTTAATCATATCATGATTAAGAATAAAAAGATATTTTGATATGTATTTAATTTTGTTTGGCCTACAAGAGATTTGATATCCATGGATTATTTGCAGGTAGAATACCGTCTACTATTTCCAATATGTCAACACTTAGTTATATGAACTTTGATTACAACATGTTGAACGGAGAGATTCCACAAACCTTGTGCAGTATGGGTGCACTCAAATTTCTTGTTCTATCGGAAAATGGCTTGGAAGGTACACTACCCGAATGTTTAGGAAACTTGAGCAAACATATGGTTGTGTTGTTCTTATCTAAGAATCACTTCCACGGCGCTATTCCAACTACACTTTTTACCAATGGTTGTGCACTAAAGTATCTAAGTTTGAGTAACAACCAATTATTCGGAAGCTTGCCTCTATCCTTGGCTAATTGCGCGCAATTAGAGGCTTTCGATGTTGGAAATAACAACATACACGACTTCTTTCCTATTTGGATGGAAGATTTTCCCAAACTTCGAGTTCTTAGCTTAGCTTCAAATAGATTTCATGGAACCATACCCGAGTCGAAGAAGGAGATTTCATTCCCCATGTTGAAAATATTTGATATTTCCAACAATGATTTCACGGGCTACTTATCAACATCTTATTTGAAGCATTGTGGGGACTTATTGGATGCTAAGGAACAACAATCAACCTATTTTAGTCTCTTCTTTTCTGAAGACACAGCGTTCGTGTATTGGTTGTTTCAAACTTCTATCATTCTAAAAGGTGTGGCGACAAACTATACGCGCATACAATTAGCCTTTACTATGATTGATTTGTCGAACAATAAGTTCTGTGGAAGTATTCCCTATTCCTTTGGAGATCTTGCAGCTCTCCGGAACCTTAACTTGTCTCACAACAATCTCAGTGGCCGTATCCCTTCAAGTTTGAGCTCTCTAAGTGTGCTAGAGGCATTGGACTTATCATCGAACCACTTAACAGGGGAAATTCCAATGCAGTTGACGAATCTATCCTTTCTGGCGAAGTTCAATGTTTCGTACAACAATCTTTCTGGAGAGATACCTCAATCTGGAGGTCAATTTGTGACATTTGAATATAGTTCGTTTGTTGGGAACACTGAGCTATGTGGACATCCATTGACGAAGAAATGCAAGAGTGAAAAAATGTTGCCTTTGTCACCTCCACCGAAATCTTTCGAAAGTGATGGTGAGGATGAGGATATGTTTGATGGAATGACATGGCAAGGGGTTCTCATGGGGTATGGCTTTGGACTATTAATTGGAGTGGTCCTCGGACTCATATATTTCTAGGTAAATACTACAATGCTTTCGATTCATTTACATATTTTGTCGATGGTAATTGGTTGTTGATATATCAATTTTGTAGATTATCTTAGTCTTAATTGTCCTGACTTTTTGTTGCGGACTAATTTTGTCACAAACAACTTATTTGTTAGGAGACAATCCTTTTGTAACGTTGTTACGGACAAAGTTTGTAACAAGAAGTTTTCTGACAAGATTAGACATTTGTAACGCATTTTTTTATTTGGACATATGATGTAACAAATATTTCTCTGACAATATTCAACTTTTGTTTCGCATTATTTGTTACGGATATTTGTCGATTCAAAAACATGATTGCTGTTTTTGTTACATGCCAAAAAAACGTAACAAATATAATTAACATGTGCTTATTTTAAGAGTTGGCCACCAAATATTTGTTACAGACTTTGTCGCAACAAGGACTTTTTGTACCGCGATTTTTTTGTACCAGTCAAAATCCGTAACAAAATCGACACAAAAGGCTATTTTGCACGAAAAATGGATTTTTGTTACGAATATTTGACCGATACAAAAAGACCTTTTTATTTTTGTAGTGTTAGTTTTAATTGCTCGTATATTTGACATGTAATAGTAAGGACAAAAGATCAGACATGTCATAAACTTAGTTCGTCGGGTACTTTTGTTCGAAAAAAAAAAAACAAAGATGGGATTTTCCATTGGGTTGCCATAAAGTTGTGTCAATTTTTTACATACAGAGGCAAAATCACAAATATTTACGAGGACTACGTTGACGAGAAGATTGGAGAAGAAAACTATATAAGTATGCTTATTCTCAATAGACGGCCGGATGCTCTAATGGTGTTGATACTGTGGTGTATAGCAGTTAGTTTCTTACACAATGTAATTACGAGATGATAGTGTTGTTGGATGATTGTTGGTGTATTTGTTCGTATTTAACCCGGTGATCATAAGTTTACATCTATCTTCTAGATTGGAATATCTTAAAGGTAAGTTTGATACCATACTGGCTTAACAATCATTCTTTGTCATATCCTTAGTTTGCACTTATTTCACAGATGTTATATATGTTGACATGCATATTGAAATTATAACTACGGAATTGAACAACCATATGTTAAAAGCTATGCTTAGCTATTGTAGTCTTGTAGTTTTCCATCGCAAAAGACTTGAAGAAATTGGCCCCATATCTTCCAACAATATGTGCTAAAAAATATATTCGTAAAATTACATTTTGGACTTCCCCCATTGGGATTGAACATCGACTAATTGTGCAATGGGGTGTGTGTGTGTGTTCCCCAGCCCCCCTTGTCAAATAAACAGAGACAAAAGTATTAATGGTGCTACATACATAAATAAATTTATACATATCTTTCTTAAATCTACATAATCAAAATTACATATGATAATAATTTATATAATCAAGATGTAATAATAGAAGAAACGCATAATAAAGTCGATTATTATATGATATTACAAACTCTATGATTAAGAAAATTTTGGAGAAAGAAGATTAATCAACCTTCTTTAATTAAAGATAGACTATTACATATAAAAAAAATATCTCTTATTTTGTCGATTTCCAATCAAATACATGACTTTGTTAATTAATCAAAAATTAATTGATTCTATTTATTACAATACAATGATATTTCTGAGTGTCAAAAAAGATTATAGAGATTTAGAATATTGTTTAAATCCTTTGGCTTTAACTTTTGCTTTCTTCATTATATTTCGTGAGATCTGATTCAGATCGGCACTTTGAATGGCATCCCACATAACCACCACATTTTGTAAACTACTTTTGGTTAATACACAAAGCAATTTTCAATATTATAAAATCACACTGAATTCTTTAAGTAATAATTATACATTTGTAGCCTAGTTATTAGTAATAATAAATCTTTCAAATCATGGTATTGTTTTATATCAGCAAACAAACCTTAAATTCATTGCAAATTTATAAAAACAGTACTGTCACTTTTAAAATGCAAATAAATTTTACAGGTGTTGATCAAAGTATCTATACATAGACTTTTGTTACTCAATTTTCTGTAGCGATCAAAATCCGTTACAAAGTCGAAAAAAAAAGGCATTTGTATCGACTTTTCCTCTGCTACAAATTGTTTCATTTCTAGTAGTGAGTCACTTTTATCATGTACCTATAAATAAGCAAGCAACTTTTAAAGTCCAAACATATCATCACAACCCTCTAACTAAAAATCATCAGGAAATGTCAAGTGCCAAAATGGGGAATTATTACCTCATTGGATCTGTTACATTGCTTTGTGTAATGGTTACCTCTGTCTGTTCTAAGCTCGATTTGACTTCAGATCAGTCTTCTCTATTAGCCTTGAAAGCTCACATCATTTTAGATCCTAACAATGTCTTGAAAAATTGGACAACTTCTTTCTCCAGCTTGCAATTGGATTGGTGTCACATGTGGCATGCGTCGCCAAAGGGTAATCGGATTGAATATTTCCTTCATGGGCCTTGTCGGAAGCATTCCCCCGGAGTTTGGAAACTTGTCATTCCTAGCTTCCATGGATATCAAGGGCAACAACTTCAGCGGGACTCTACCAGAAGATCTGACTCGTTTGCGAAGATTGACATACATGAGACTCAGTGACAATAACTTTGCCGGGGAGATTCCACATTGGTTTTCTTCAATTCCTCGACTTGAGTTCCTATCTCTTGCATTGAATAGTTTCGCTAGCATGAACTCGTTTATCGAGTCATTTTCAAATGAATCAAAGCTCAAAACCTTGGTTGTGTCTTCCAATCGTCTTCAAGGTGAAATTCCAAAGTTTACAAGCAACTTTACCATTGTAAATATTGTCTTAGGAAGGTTTAACAAATCGACATAATTCTCCTCTAAATGAACATCTTATATGTACAAATTTTTGATTCATTATTATTATTATTTGTGTGTATATGTATGTATATATACACAGGAGAGATACCACCCGGCATCTTCAACATCTCTACATTGAAAAGGATATTGCTCTACGACAATAAATTATCAGGTACTCTTCCTGATAACATATGTTGGGGACTTCCGTCACTCAGTTGGTTTGTTATTTACGACAATGAGCTACAAGGACACATTGGATCGAAATTTGCTTCATGTTCCAATCTTTCGATACTATCTATGTCAGCCAACAATTTTACTGGATTCATCCCAGATGAAATTGGTAGTTTGCAGAAGCTTCAAAAGTTGTATCTTCATGAAAACAAGTTAACAGGTAAATTTTCATATCCAAAATCATTGTTTACATGTTTGTAAAAATTTATGATTAATATGATTGTGATATATTAGTTTTCTAAATTGATAGGTTCTATACCATCCAACATTTTTAACATCTCAACCATAGAAGTAATAAACCTCAACCACAATCAATTATCGGGTACTCTTCCTGATAATTTGTGCAATGGCCTTCCGAATATCAAGTTATTGTTCATAAACCATAATCAGTTGTCGGGAAAACTTTCATCAAATTTTACCTCATGTAAGCAACTTCGATTTATATCATTTTCGGGGAACGGTTTTGTTGGAATCATACCACAAGGAATAGCAAACTTGGATAAGCTTGAATGGTTGGAGCTCTCCGGCAATAACATTACAGGTACAAATTTGAATTTATTTAAACATATCTTTATTTACTATTATATATTATATGCTACAATTCTTTTAATTGATGATTAATAGTTTTTTCTTGCACATTATATTCCTTCAAGATATAATGTGCAAGAAAAAAAAGATAGAATTTTGATCTGTACAAGGATCATATTAACTCAATAAAGTAGCTCATTAATTAATTGTTTGTACTTAATTATATCATAAGAATAAAGAGATATTGTGATATTTTATTTAGTTTTGTTTGGCCTAAAAGAGATTTGATATCCATGGATTATTTGCAGGTGGAATACCTTCGACTATTTCGAATATGTCGACACTTAGTTATATGAACCTTGAGTCCAACATGTTGACAGGAGAAATTCCACAAACCTTATGCAGTATGGATGCACTCAAGTTTCTTGTTCTCTCCGAAAACAGCTTGGAAGGAACACTACCCGAATGTTTAGGAAACTTGAGCAAACATTTGCTTGTGTTGATCTTACATGCAAATCACATCCATGGTGCTATTCCAACGGCGCTTTTTACAGATGTTTGTGCTCTCAAGTATCTTAGTTTGAGTAGCAACCATTTACTCGGAAGCTTGCCTGGATCCTTGGCTAATTGCGCGCAAATGGAGGCTTTTGGTGTTGAAGATAACAAAATACATGACATCTTTCCTATTTGGATGGAAGATTTTCCCAAACTTCGAGTTCTTAGCTTAGCTTCTAATAGATTTTATGGGACCATACCCGAGTCAAAGAAGGACATTTCGTTCCCCATGTTGAAGATATTTGATATTTCCAACAATGATTTCACGGGCTACTTATCAACATCTTATTTGAAGCATTGTGGGGATGCCAAGGAAGAACAATCAACATATTTTTATCTCTTGTTTTCTGAAGACACCGCGTTATTGTATTGGTGGTTTCGAACTTCTATCATTCTAAAAGGCGTGGCGACAAACTATACGCGCATACAATCAGCCTTTACTATGATTGATTTGTCAAACAATAGGTTCTATGGAAGTATTCCCTATTCCTTTGGAGACCTTGCAGCTCTTCGGCACCTAAACTTGTCTCACAACAATCTCAGTGGTCATATTCCTTCTAGTTTGAGCTCTTTAAGTGTGCTAGAGGCGTTGGACTTGTCGTTGAACCACTTAACAGGGGAGATTCCGATGCATCTGACAAAGCTATCATTTCTGGCGAAGTTCAATGTTTCATACAACAATCTTTCTGGAGAGATACCTCGATCTGGAGGTCAATTTGTGACATTTGAAAATAGTTCGTTTGTTGGGAACACTGAGCTATGTGGACATCCATTGATGAAGAAATGCAAACGTCAAGAACCACCCGCAAAATCTGTTGAAGGTGAGGATGGGGGGATATTCGATAGGATGACATGGCAAGGCGTTCTCATGGGATATGGCTTCGGACTATTAATTGGAGTCGCCCTCGGATTCGTATATCTCTAGGTAAATACTACAATGCTTGCTTTGGATTCATTACATATTTAGTCGATAGTAATAGCTTGTCGATTACATATTTAATTTGCTTGTCTGTTTAACATGTAACATCGAGGCTCAAGAGCCAGAAAATGTCGTGAACTTAGTTGGTTACATATTTCGTCGATAGTATTTTCGATTTTATGTACTGTTCATCAAAATTTCTCGAATGGTTTTATGTCCATTGCAATGGAAACTTGTAATGTGTGTAAGGATTTAGATTGAATAGTTCTTGGTGAACTAAGCAGTTCACAAAAGAATTCTCCCTTTTTGTAAATAAATCATATACAGACATACAAAATTTGTTCGATATTTAAATCACTTATAGACCACAGGGGCATCTAGCCCACAGACTATGCCTCGTCTGCAATAGATTTTTTGGACAGACTATCATCATATGCCTAATTCCTCCATCCCAATGATATTTGCCGTTGTTTCGACTGATTCCGAGAGAGATGCCTCCGTGGCGAGGCGACAAAGGTGTGTTGAACAAACAAGAAGTCATCAGGTGAGAGCTTTTCTGATACGAAGTGTGGCTCGAATACACATTAGACCTTCCGAGGGAAATTGCCTCGTCGAGCAAAGATCCCGGGCTCGGATAAGGATAGCTACAGCTGCTCGACTGGATACCCGTAACTTCAAAAATAAACAGTTTGTATCAGTTAGGGGAAGATGTAATAAAATTCACTTACTAAACGTAAGTAAAATAAGTCGAAAATGATGTGAGTCGATTTTGAGCACATAGCATACCTGGATTTTCTTCTAGCTTGTTATCTCTGCATTGTTTCACCATAAGTAGTTGATAACGTAAATTGAAAACCTACATATAAACCAAGTATTTAAAACAAATTCAATTTAGTATTTAGAGTTCAGGGCTCAGGGTTTTTACCTCTTCTTGAAGCAAGGAAGGAAGATTCTATACGGAAACCAAGCAAGATATTTCGTCCAATACCCTTTGGTCGATGACACCGGACCATGTCTTCGGGGGCAATGCAAGTAGAAGCACTGTCAAGACATCAGTGCAGAAGCTTGCAGCAATATTAGGCGAATCATAACACTTATCTGTAGATTGTTTGATTTTAACCATATTTTTATCTGGAGACAAAATCGAGGCAATGTGCTTGTAAAGGTTGGTTTCTTCCAGTTGTTTCAACACCTCCTCCTGAAAAAATTAATCTGTGAATAAAGTGTCATGGAAATTGTTGATCAGAAGTACAGGTATATGAAACTATTGCTTTACCTTGATAACAATCCTTCCTTTATCTGTCTCTTTGCTATGAATCTCTGCCACCCATTTTACCAAGTCCACAAAATCTGATGGCAGAGATGTAAGAACAGTTGACAATAGGTCATCGACATCCTTCAAAGTTTTTGAAGTTAATAGCACTGGCATGTCGTCCATCAAATATTTCGCTGTAACAGTCCAACTCTTGTGATTGCAGCTCTGCAAAGAATGAATTATCTTTTTGTTTATACTACATATTGATTGACGATGTAGAGATCAGTTAAAAATCAAAACAATATATATATATCATAATTCTAATTAATTTCTAATACGAGTAACTAAGTGATGTTTTAAATCTAAAAAGTTAATGGAAATTTCTACAAAATATCTTATTCTCAGAACAACTCAGCTCTTCAATGGTATCATACCAGGGAATGGAGCAGACCCGCAGATCTTTGATGACTCGACACAAGCATGAACCTGCATGGCATACAGACTCGTGCAGTTAGATAATATAGATGGATAACAAGGATGAAAGCGAATACAACGTATTTGTTCTTTGCAACAGAAATAAGGGATTAACAGAGTAAAATGAATAGCAGTGATGAGGAGCACATACGTACCCCCTGTGTTGCCCAGTTGATTCGTCAACAGTATTCATCGCTTCCCAAAGAAGGCTGAGGGGAACCCAATGAGGAGGATATTTGAACCTGGCAACATCAAGAATCAATGCCAGATGTCTCTTCTCTCCTTTTTATTTTTAATTCAGATTTCGAATCAGTTCGATTGGGATGAGCGTTGCAAATGGGAACGGTGAGACTCGAACTCGAGACCTAACCTAAGCTGGAATATCATGTCAGATGCAAGATGCAGAATCAACTTAAAGCTTGAATTATTAGGAAAATGCAACAATTAATTATTTATCAGCCAACGCAGTCCAGACGCAACCTCTGGGCACATTTTTGCTTTTACTAGTGTTGTCTTGTCCTTTTTATTTTCATTTTTTTTTTTTTCTAGTGGAAATTCCATTGAGTAAACAGTTTTCTTGCAATTGGTTTTGTTATTTATTTCTCAATTATTATTTTTTTTATCCACTATATATCATCATTTCAAAGTTGCACTTGTGTATTGGCTTTTAAATCACATTGCCATGCAACGGAAGGTTTTTGTATATTAATACATCATTGAATCACACACTTAACTTCTTTCCATTTTGATGGAAACTCTTCCCAAACTTGAGGTTCTAAGTTTGTCTTCTAATAGATTTCATGACTCCATTTCTGATTCAAAGAATGAGATTTTGTTTCCCAAGTTGAGAATACTTGATATCTCCAACAATGAGTTCACCGGGTACTTATCTACGTTGTACTTGAAGCATTATAGGGATGATCAGCATACGGATAAACAACAAGCAATGCACACCACTGCCTTCTATTCGAAAATCTATTCAAATCCCTTAATAGGGAAAATCCCGATGCAGTTGACAAATCTGTCATTTCTATCAAAGTTTAATGTCTCACACAACAATCTTTCTTGTGAGATACCTCGATCTGGAGGTCAATTTGGGACATTTGAAAATAGTCCATTTATTGGGAACACTGAGCTATGTGGACATCCATTGACAAAGAAATGCAAAAGTAAAGAGATAGTGAGAATGAGGGGATATTCGATGGGATGACATGGCAAGGTGTTCTCATGGGGTATGGCTTCCGACTATTTAATTGGAATCGTCCTCGGACGCAGATATTTCTAGGTAAATACTACAATGCTTTCAATTTCTTTTACATATTTAGTCGATAGTAGTTGGTTGGCGATCATAGTCTTAATTGCTCGTATATTTAACATGTAACAACATCGATGACAACAAATCAGACATGTCGTAAACTTAGTTGGTTGCGTACTTGTTCGAAGAAGAACAAAGATGGGATTGTCCATTGGGTTGCCATAAAGTTATGCCAATTTTTTACAGTCATGCAGAAAAAAATCTCAGATTTATACGAGGACTTCGTTGACGAGAAGAACACGGACATGGAAGTTAATTGCAAGGACTAACTTATTGATAGACAGGTACTTTGCTGGTGTTATTATTGTTAGTTTCTCATAAAATGTATTTCAAAGAAAGTTGTAGGAGGTGATAGTGTTTTTGGATGGTTGTTGGTGTATTTAATTTGTTTGTGTTTAACTTGGTGATAAGTTTATAGTAAACATTACCTCTAAATGTAGGTTTGATATCAAATTGGATTAAACAAACATTGTGTGTCTTATCTTTTGTTTACACTTATTTTTTTACCTATGTTTTTTTGACATACTGAACTTATAATTACAAAACAACTACTTGTTAAAAGTTATGCTTACCTATTTTGGTTTTATTATTTTCAATTGCAAAAGACTTGAAGAAATTGGCCCCATATCGTGGTGCGGTTTCCAGCAATATATTTGGGTCGTATAATATAATGAAGATGTAGTAAGAGAAGAAACAAATATAGAATCGATTATTATTGTGGACAAAAAATTGTGTTATTTTTAATAAACACAAAAATTTGTACAAATTATATTTGATTTAAATTTAAAGCTGGTCCTATTCTTTATATGAGTCCCTTGATTCTCCTTCCGGGTCGATTTATTTTTCAATTAGTTTTTTATGGCTTCTTTAATCCGAAAAAGTTTGATCTTCGGTTTGACTTTGCCGGACTTTGGAGGGCTTTGACCTCCGTGCAGACAATTTGATCGTCAGTTTTGGATTTGATGTTTTTTTTGGACTATCCGAGGCTTTGATCTTTGATTTAGCTTTGCCGCCTTTTGGAGGGTTTGGTCTCCGTGTTGGCGATTTGACCATCAGCTTTGGATTTGATGTCTTCTTTGGACGATCCGCGACTTTGATCTTTGGCTTGCCTTTTCCGCCTTTTGGAGAGCTTCGGTCTCCGTGTGGGCGATTCGATCGTCGGCCTTAGATTTGATGTCTTCTTTGGACGATCCGCGGCTTTAATCTTTGGCTTGCCTTTTCCGCCTTTTGCAGAGCTTTGGTCTCCGTGTGGGCGATTTGATCGTCGGCTTTGGATTTGATGTCTTTTTTTCACGATCCGCGGCTTTGATCATTGCTTTGGCATTGCCGCCGTTCAGAGGGCTTTGGTCTCCGTGTTGGCGATTTGATCATCGGCTTTGGATTTTTTGTCTTCTTTGAACGATCCGCAGCTTTGATCTTTGAGGAGGTGAATTTGGTGCTCTATAACACTTTTGGCTGCGTGTCTCTTTGACTTTTGGATCAAAGAGGGCCTAGTTGATGCTTTGTTGAAGAACGCGATGAACATCTTGAAGCTTTGAGAGGAACTTTGAAGACCTTCCCTTGGCTTTGACGAATTCCTCAACGGCTTTGAGAGCTTTGATCCTTCCTCCAGCTTGGACATACGACGAAGAACGTTAACTTCATCGATTGGTGAACCAATATTTGATCATTTGTCCAAATCAGTGACTTTCGACGAAGAACGCTTCGAAGAACACGAAGAACAATACAGAGAGAGTCTAGAGACTTACCCCTTTGCTTGAATCATCGATGCAACTTCGGTGTGTCAAATGAACTGGCCATGACTCCTATTTATAGGGGATGGGTGGCTTCGGCTTCCTTTTTTAATGGTGCCACGTGGCGAGTTTTGATTGGCCAATAGAAAGATTTTATAATCTTTTCTTTCCCCTCATATGCTCTTTTCCATTCTTGACGGATTTGATTGTGCACCTTCCTTTCTCGCCAAGATCTTTATATAATTGCCCTTTTTCTGAAGATATTAATTTATATTCTTCATTTATTGACAAGATTAATTTATTTTGCTGCCAAATTTATTATGACTCTATTTATGCACGTAATATTTGTACGATATCTTCAATTTTAAGCAGATTTTTGTATTAATGGTTGATATTTATTGTATAAAAATTAACATATGTGCATAATTAAATACCATATACTGTATTATTAAAAAACTTTTGGAAAAGAAGATTAATCAACGACTGACTGTGGATGTAAAATACGTAATGTACGGTTTGGAATAATGGGAGAAATTTCTGTGGAATATTTCGACACATTCCAAGCAGAACTTTCCCAGTCATTTAACAATGTATAGTAGTATTGTATTATTATGTGGTTTGGAATGATTTTATGGTCACTATCTCCTTGACTGTATTAATTCGTGTTTCTTGCTTCTGAATTGACTTGACTAAACTGATCACTGCTTTCATTTAGGACTAGGATTATGTCATGATACTATATATTCCTTATTGGATGTATGTATTATTATTATTTTACAGATTATGCAATGACAAACGTAAATCACATTTTTGCTTTTACTAGTGTGTGTTGTCTCTTGCCTTTTCTTTTTCTTTTTGTTCTAGCTTTCTTGCAGTTGGTTTCATTTTTTGTTTATGGTAAATTATTTTTTTTTTAGTCCCGTAACTGGACCCCCTTATCATTTTAATCCCGTAAGTGGAGCCTGCCGCAAACTAGTCCTATAAGTGAAAATTTTTCGTTGTTTTAGTCCTCCGGCGCCGGAGACGCCCGAGTGGCTCGCCGGAGGCCACGTGTCCGCCAGGTCAGCGACACCTGGCGGACACGTGGATTTTATTTTTTATTTTTATTTTTTAATTTTTAATTTTTTTTTTAAATTTTTTTTAATTTATTATTATTTTTTTATTTTTTAATTTGGTCCAATTAAAAAAAAATGAAAAAAAATTTAAAAAATTAAAAAAAATGAAAAAAAAAATCCACGTGTCCGCCAGGTGTTGCTGACCTGGTGGGACACCTGGCGGACACGTGGCTTCCGGCGAGCCACGCGGACGTCTCCGGCGCCGGAGGACTAAAACAACGAAAATTTTTCACTTATGGGACTAGTTTACGACAGGCTCCACTTACGGGACTAAAATGATAAGGGGGTCAGTTGCGGGACTAAAAAGACAGTTTACTCTTTGTTTATTTATATTTTATCCACTATCAAAATTTCAAAGTTGCACTACTGTATTGGAAATCCATTGACTGAAGAAGCTTCCTAGTGCCGACTATAAGTTAAGTCTTTATAATGACTTAAAAACACGTGCTTGACTAAATCAATGTTTAATCTTGGCAATGAAAATTTCGCTGTACTAATACCCAAATTAATTCACATCTAATAAATCTTAACTAACTTTGTTCTCTAGTTCTTGATGCAATTGGATTTTGATTGATTATATTTATGTAGGTGCGAGTTAAATATCACCATGTCTTTATTCCAAATGTCTCTTCTCTCCTTTTTATTTTTAATTCAGATTTCGAATCGGTTCGATTGGGATGAGAGTCGCAAATGGAAACGGTGGGACTCGAACTCAACATCTAACCTAAGCTGGAATATCATGTCAGATGCAAGATGCAGAATCACCTTAAAGCTTGAATTATTAAAAAAATACAACCATTAATTATTTATCAGCCAACGGAGTTCCAACACAACCTTAAATTGATTGCAAAATTATAAAAACAGTCACTTTTATCATACACCTATAAATATGCTAGCAACTTTTAAAGTCCAAACATATCATCACATCCTCTCTAACTAAAAATCATCAAGAGTGCCAAAATGGGGAATTATTCCCTCATTCGATGTGTTACATTACTTTGTGTATTGGTTACCTCTGGCTGTTCTAAGCTCGATTTGAGTTCTGATCAATCTTCTCTATTAGCCTTGAAAGCTCACATCATTTTAGATCCTGACAATGTCTTGAAAAATTGGACAACTTCTTCTCCAGCTTGCAATTGGATCGGCGTCACATGTGGCATA